TCTTCAGGGTCAAGACCCAAAGACCTTGATGTCACTTCCCCTCCCTTCTCTATCTCCCCAGTGCATTGGTTACTATCATTTGTACATTACATAGTTTGCTTGTTTTCTGTCTTTTGCTGGATGTGAGCTCCTCAAGGCATGGCCTTCCCTCCAGGATCAAAAACTGCCTGATCCCCTCTTAGTAGACCAAAGACACTTAATTTGACAATTCACTTCATTTAAATAGCTTATTGACAAACCTCTGCAAGGTGCATGTTAATCACAGGGCAGACTGCAATCCAGGGCTAGATAAAAATGATCAAACCACAAGTTGTTTACAGTTTACCCTGGAAATATCAATCACACTGGACAAAAGTAACAAATCCTCTGGGGTAGGAACCCAGGGTTTAAGGGAGACATCTCTGAAATTGTTTTTCCAAAGAACCAATGCAAAAGGTTGTAGAAAAGAACTCATTTCATCAAACCTAGATGTCAGAGCAGCTCAGCCTCTGGTCTATAAAAGGTGGACTGAGCTGACCAGCACTGAGGGTTCCAGACGATGGATGTGGGAACAACACTTGGGCACTGAGTCATCTCCCCAGGACTCTGCAGTGCATGAGATCCCCCGGTCCTGGACCAATGTGTATGCGTGGATAGCTCAAGTGTTGTAAAACAGCACAACAGAGGGGACCCCCAACTTCTCCTCAAAGGCTGCTGTACAGCTGCTGTCGGTGCTAGCAACATGAATCCTGGGCTCTGGATACTGACTCAGGAAGGTTCTATGGCACTAACTCAGAAGGCCACTTGTACGATGAGGAAACAGACACAGAGAGATGGAGTTGTTTACCCAAGGCCAGGCTGCGAGCCAGTGGAGAGGCTGGGCTTGAGTCTGGGTATGAACTCTGTACCTACACTGGAGAGAACCCCCAGTGGCATGCTGTGCACCCCAGGGCCTCTCTCTCAATTACTGCCTTTCTTCCTCACCCCAGCAGGCAGCACTGTATTGACGAGGCGTCCCCCACTGGCATCCAGCCAAAACTCTATTGATGATGGACATCCTCCCTCCAGAAACACAGGCTGATGGGGAGCAGGCAGCAGGGGGCGGTTTGGTCCACAACCCCTGCTGGGTGGCCCACCTTCCTTTCTCCTTGGCACTGGGCCTACCAGGGTCACTGTGCAGGTGGTCCCTCCTGGCCAGTACTGGTGGGGAGCAACGGGGCAGGGGAAGTGTGGGGTGGGCATTCTCAATCCTCACTCAATGCTGAGGAGCCTGGATGGTCCTTCTCACAGGCTATGCTTTCAAGAGATGCCTCGGGAGGTTTGGGCTGGGTTGACCAGCCACTCCTTGCTGGTCACCAGCAATGGAAGGTTGAATGCCGGGCATTGCTGGAAGAGTGGAAATCCCTGAGCTGGTAGACCCTACAGCTGGGGCCCCAGTCACACCCTCCTCCTGGCACTGTGAGACAAAACCGCTGTCCCTTTCTGCCTGCCCCGTGCCCAGCTGACATTCCACAGCATCTACACAGCACTCAGCTGGTGACAGGGCAGTTGTCTGCATAGCAGAACTAGTCATCTTTGGAGCTTGGGGTCCTTTAAGGTTACTGAGCCCTTCGTGACACCATGAGACTCACAAAGACCTCACAAGAGGGGACCTCACTGTTCCCAGGTGGTCTTTGTGTGAGAGAAATATGAGAACTTCCCACGTCTATTCATTTGAAAACATTTCCGGAAAAAGAACTCATACACAGAAATCCACCATTAACCAAGATGGGGCATTTCTGTCTCCCCAAAAGTGCACGGGTGCCCCTCTGTCATCACTCCACCCTGTCGGCTCCTATTATGTTGCCTACTCTAGATATTCCACTGAAGTGGGATCTTACAACATGTGAACTCTTCTGTCTGGGCTCTTTAACTCGGCAGACTGTTTGCTTGGTTCCTCCATGTCCTAGCAAGCACTAGGGCTTCATCTCTTTACTGCTGAGTGTTACCGTCAGGGACAGAGCACGTTTTCTGTATCCATGTGTCTGCTACTGGGCACTGGGCTATGGTGACTATGCAGAGATGCTGAGAGCACCCATTGTATTCACATGCTTGCTCAGGTCTTTGCCTTCAGTTATTTGGGGCACACACATGGGGGGAGGGGTTGCTGGGTCACACGGCACCTCTATACTTCTCTTCCTCCCACTGAACACAGAGCAGCTACTCAATCTTTCTCTACCTTGCCCGACTCTGATGTGTTGGGGTGCAGGCTGTTCTGTAGAGAGCCCCCCACTTTCAGGGACAACCTGTGTTCCTTGTGATTGGATCAAGGGTCTCTCCCTTGGGTGGTGAATTCCATCAGCTCTAAAGTCAGGCACCCATCTAAGTCACATGGTTGTAGCCCAGGGGTGGTCAGAGCTTTCTGAAGGTGAATTAGAGATGGCTGCTGCCCTTCTGTATGCTCCCCCAGTGCTTCCTTCAGGACCCCTGAGCCAAGTGTATCAGGGGCAGCTTGAGTCCAGTAGGCCAGCCACCACTTGATGTCCACTCCACAGGGACCTGACACAGAGCAGCAACAGGCCCTGCTCTGCTCATGCTGGTCCGCGTTGGACCTTGGAGAGGGATCTCACTTGTCCCTTGGTCTAACACACTCCCGGGGCCACCCAGAAAACACCCAGTTACTTTAAACAATGATTTATCTAAAGTTGTTCAGAAATGTTATCACCAAACCACCTCACTTCTAAACACGACTGCTGCGTGCAAGTGCTCAACATGGATCTCACAGATGTGGGGTCTGACAGGCCTCAGAGGAGACACCTGGGGGGAGGGACAGAGGTTTGGAAAGAGGGAACATTTTGATTGACCGATGCCTTGACAACCCCCAAGCATCAACAATGAAAGGGAAGACAGTAGACTAGGGTGTGCAGCCTCTCCTCAGTGAGACAAACCATTTAAACCCAGTGGGGGCATGTCCTATCTCCATGGCCCAAAGCCCACGTGGGGACAGCTGTTCTCCTGGGAAATCCTCCCAGGGTGTGGTCACGGTGGTCCTGTAAGGATGCGCTCTCTGAGCTCAGGGAGTCAGGCATTGCGAACCCTATTAGGTCCTGGCCCCTCCTTGACCAGTAGTCGCTCTGGACCACTCCTAAGCCCTAAGCTAACTCTTCACAGGCAAACCTACTTGGCCTTGAAGGAGGAGACTCAGTCAGGGACTTAGATGGACAGGAGGGGAGGAAGACCCATGTTTTCCAGAGATACTTTCTGCCCTTTTGTGACCCCAGCTTATCACAGCTGCGTTTTCTTTTGTCCTGTGTGGTGAGTAAGAACCAATTGCTGTTTGCTTGAAAGGTTGTTGGGTTCAGGTGGACTTTCTGAAGCTGATTTTTGAGGGTGGTAAGGAGTCCTAGTGTGGTGTTGTAGGACTGCTGACCACAAGGTCAGCAGTTCAAACCCACCAATTGCTCCCCAGAAACCTTATACAGAGTCACTAACAGTTGCAACCGACTTGACGACGCTTAGCAACAGCAAGGAGATCTTGAGGTGGGCAGGCGTGGCTCTGCCAGGGCTACACTCAGCAAGTGACTGCGTGACCAAGATGCCCTTCAATCATCCTGGGGTCACAGCTCAAGGCACAGGACGCGGCTGACCGAGTCTGGGTCCGAACAGAACTGTGTGTCCATCCCCCTGGGTAGGACAATGACAAAGAGATAGCCTGCCTACAGAGCCCATGGGAGCAGGGTGTGTAGACAGGATTAGGAGTGGCTGCTGACCCTCCCCATCCCTCCAACATGGTGTGGGAGGCCCCCAGGGCAAGTCCACTGAAGACCAGAGCAGGGAAGGAAGGCACTCGGCAGACTGTGCCCTCCTGGAGAACTGCTCTGTGCCACCCTTCTGCTGCAGGGAAGAGACCTCTCCTCACAGAGGATCCTGGAGCCACCGCCCCTAAGTGAGGCCCGGGGGTGTACCAGAGCCCCTCGGTCCTTGGTGTCCAGCATAGCCTGGGAATTGGCATGTGGACACCAGCTCTGGCCCTGGCTCTGCCATCTCCACCACATCAGTCTCTCTGGCCCTTGGGCTCCCAGGAAATAGCCGAAATTCTTCCCATCAGAGGCTGCCGTGGCCTGGAGCCCGGCCCTTTCTCTTTGCCTCCCTTAGCCCACCCTGGGGTGAAAGCCCCATGCCTTCATGGTCACCTACAGCCACCTATATCTCCGGACCACGATTCTGCCCTGACTTCCTCTTATGGTCACCCGGTCCCCACCCCAGCATCAGGTGGCTCTGCCTAACTCCCACGCACGGCTGTCTCAGGGGCCCCAGGGAGGGCTCCCTACTGGGCTGCTGGGCTGCTGTGCTCAGGCCTTCAAAGGCCCCTCGTCCCTCAGTTCCTCCACCTCCACAAACCACTTCCAATCTTCCCAACCCTCATGTCATCAGCAACGACAGGACCTTGGGTGCCTTCTCTGTGCCACTTCCCACTTCACAGATACCCTGCTGAGGCAACTCACTTTACAAGTGTATATGATCACCTCACTTTACAAGTGGGGAAATTGAGGCTTCGGGAGCCATGGAGCCAGCCAGGAGCTGTTAGGATGCAGCAGGTGGGGGCTGCTGGGAGGCTTAGCTGTAGCAGGTGGGGGCTAAGCTTTGGGCAGAAGCCTTTGAGAAACTGATGAAAGGGGTGGCAGGGGCCCAGATGAAGCACTTTTGTCTGCTTGCAGGGACTCTGGGGATACCTGAAGCTGGGTTAGGATCCCCCACCTCCAGCAACTGCCCCCTCAGGCAGAAGGAGGTGAAGAGGGGACATGGGGACCCAGCAGGTGTGGCGTGAAAGGTAGGAAAAGGGGGCTGGATCCTGGAAGTCTGTACCTCACACCCTGCTCCCCTTCCAGGGTGCCCAGGAGTGAAATTTCCTCAGGACACATTTCCAACTCCCAGGGCACCCTAACACTTAGACCTGGGGTGAGGGTAAAGGAAGCGCTGAGCACCCACAGGAACCCCCACCCTGGTGCTGCCGGGACCCATCCCCTTCCCAGGCCGCTCACCTGGATGACGACCTTCACAGTGGCGGTGTCCACCACGGTGGTGCACACCAGGCCTCCGGGGTGCTGGCCGTCGGCGCTGCGGTTCTGCTGACCCATGGCAAAAACCATGGGCACGGCCAGCAGACCCGAGGCTAGCCAGACTGCGCTGATGAGCTTCTTGGTGCGGCTGCGGGACATGAGAGTCTTGGCCTTGAAGGGGTGGCAGATGGCCAGGTAGCGCTCCACGCTCAGGCTGGCCACGTTGAGGGCCGTGGCGTAGGTGCAGGCATCTCGCAGGAAGTAGTAGCCGCGGCACACGGCATCGCCGAAGGCCCAGGGGTGGTGCACCCAGATGAAGTTGTACAACTCCACAGGCATGGCAAGCAGCAGGATGAGCAGGTCGGACAGCGCCAGGCTGCCCAGGTGGTAGTGCACCGTGCTCTGTAGGTTCTGCAGAGACTTCTTGCGCGCCAGCGTAAACGCCGTCACGGAGTTGCCCACCGTGCCTACTACGAAAAGAACCAGGTACACGACCGTCACCAGCACCTTGGAGTAAATGTCTGTGTTCACATCCAGGTCGCTGCTGGGCGCCGCCAAGACGTGCTCCGTCGCGTTGCCAGAGCTGTTCTGGGAGCTCAGGGCCAGGAGCGCAGCCTCCAGCCCCGACGGTGACAGAGCGAATGAGCCAGAGCCGGGCGCGCCGGGTAGTCCGGGCACCGAGCCATTGAGGTGCATGGTGGGCATTTGGCGAGGGTGGGCGCGTCTCAAGGCGGGGGGGCAGGAGAGGGGGAAGATAATGGAAGGGTTCCGGATGCCGTCCAGCTGGGAAGCGCCTGAGTCAGCCCCTGCCACCCCAGGAGTTGTCTAGACTGGCGCTCACCCGGGCTCGGGACTCCTGGCTCCCTCTGCTCTTCAGACTTCGCGGTTCCTCAGGTTCCCAGCTGCCGCGCGGTTCTTCACCGAGAGCTCCTGCCCCGCGGAGGCTGCTCAAGGAGCTTGTGGCGCGGAGCGGAGCGCAAGCCTGGCGCCGGGCGCGCACGGCTCCTCCTGTCCGCAGGCTCTCTCCTAGCTCTCGGCTCCCGCTCCTCCCTCGCGCTCTGCGCGCACACCCCTCCGCGCACCCTCGCCCGCGCACACCCCTCCGCGCACACCCTACCGCGTGCACCCGCAGTTTTCACGCCCGCGCCCTCCTGGGCTCCTCTGCACACCGCGCAGAGCTGGTATCTGCGCAGCGCGCTCAGCACTGAGTGGAAGCTGCCTCAGCTCTGTCGCTACCGCGTACCCCCAGGTGCAATCTAGATTGGGGTGGGCACCTCAGGAAAGTGAGGAGTGGTAGGGTCATGCGGAGAGTGGGGGCATTGGTTCTATCCAGCACTCACGCCCAGTGTTCTCTACTCTGGTGTTCCCAACGTCTCACACGCTCTCCCCGGGAAGCTGTTTCCAGGTTGCCTCCAGCTCCCTGGGGAAGGGGCTAGGGGGTGGTTGGAAAGAAGGAGGCGTCCCCGCTGGGATGTTTGGGTGTCCACACAGCTGGCTCGTGGTGTCCTTCTCTCTTCAGCATCCCCACAGGTTGCCCCTATAGAAGGCTGATGGGGGGGTGGGTAGGGTTGACAGGATGACAGAGGAGCACCCTCATTCCATAGACCACGTCCGGCTGGCTTCATGTCTCCTGAGGCTCTAACCTCAGGCTCTAACCGGATCCAGCTCTAACCTCACTCCGCTCTGCCATATGCCATCAAGTCACCTCCGACTCACTGTGCGGGCATAGGACACAATGGTATTGCTCCATAGGGTTTCCTAGACTCTAATTCCTATGGGAGTAGACAGTTTCTGTCTGTCTGGTGGGCTTGAACCATTGACTGTGCAGCTGGCTGTCTCTGAGTGGAGCTAGTCAGGAGTCACCCTCTGGACCGGTAGGGTGGGACTTGGGGAAGGGAGTGTGCACAGGCACACCCCCTTTCAACATTCAGGGCCCGGACCTCAGCCTCAGCCTCCCCCAGGGTCCCTTCAGCACTGGCAGGGAGGGCTAGGGAAGCTTACTGCCCCATTTCTGGGCTGCCTGTGCCCAGGAAGGGGTGGGCCCCTGTGGTTCCTTCTCTGGCCCTTTCCTCCCAACCACCCATGTGTCTGAGGTCCGAAGAACCCCTCAGCATTCACAGCCCCTGTAAGGATCTGCTGGCTCTGCCAGCTCTGCCCGGGGAACCCCAGGAACTCCAGAGGTCACCGGGTCCTGAGGGAAGCTCTGCTGGCCAGGCGCTGGCCCAGCAGGGAGAAGCCAAGTGTGGCTAACACATGGCTGCCTGATTCTGCTTCTGGTCTTCCGCTCTCAGTCTGTTTTGGGCTTGCTCCCATGTGGCCCGACATGCTCATCAGGTGGTCTCAGCACATGAAAACATGTGCTGAGAAACTTAGCCTTCAAGGAAAATAGAAACGGCCCCTCTGCTGGAAGCCAGCGAGGCAGCTCCAAATCCAGTGAATGTGGTTGGAACAGGATTCGCTACTGAATGTTTGCTGTATAAGGTTCCTCAGGCTATACATCCTGACGGGAGCAGAAAGTGTCATCTTTCTCCCGAAGAACTACTGGTGGATCTGAACTGCTGACTTTGTGGTTAGCGGCCCAATTCATAACCCACTGTTTTAACTTCTCCAAGCCTTGATATGGCCATGTGTAAAATGGGGAAAGGACAGAATGAATGTCTCAGGACAGGGTGGCACGTGGAAGCATTTGGGGCCAAGTGTCTGTGGACAGGGAGTTGCTGGTACCTGTGCTAAACTTGGGGATGTGAAGTGCTCACCCCCAAGGTGGGCACAGGAGGCACTCCACAAAGGATGGATTTAAAAGCCTGCCAGGCTAAATGGGGTTTGTCCTTAGGAAGACAAGGACCCAGTTGGATAAATGTGTCTCAGGGACTTGGATCTGAGTGTTCGTGTGGTAATAACAAGCAGGGACGGGAGGGGGACCTGCCTGCTCAAGGAACACTGAGATTCTGCTAAGGGCACTGGGTAATTGTGAAAATGGACAAGGGTGAGGGATGGACGGCACTCCGAACAAGCCAAGCTCATTGCCACTCAGCTGATTCTGAATCATAGAAACCGTGTCTTAGTTCCTGTGGGTGTTGCTAAGTGCCTTTGAGTTGGTTCTGAATCATAGCGACCCTGCATAGTGTTTCCGAGGAGCAGTTGGTGAGTTCGAACCACCGAACTTTCAGTTCAAGTGGATCTTGTGGTCTAGTGCTTATCCTACAGTGCCCCCCACCCCCAGGTCTCTTCTTAGTCTCCTGGTGCTGCTATAACAGGAATCCCACAAGTGAGTGGTCATAACAAACACATTGATCCTCTCAGCTTAGGGTGCTCCAAGTCGGAATTCAGAGTGCAGGCTCTGGGGGAAGTCTGCCTGTCTCCGTGGGCTCAGCATTTCTTGGAGAGCCCCATGTGCCATAGCATTCATCTTCCCCTGGATCTGGGAGCGTCATCGTGCCAGGAGCCCACGTCCTAATGATTGATTCCATTCCAGCTCTTCTTTCGCACTAGTAATTGTTCCTAAGTGCTGTCCAGTCAGTTCTGACTCATCCCAACCCTGTGTAGGGTTTCCGAGAGTGACTGGTGGGTTTGAACCTCTGACCTCATGACTACAGGTCCAGTGCTTACCCTACGGTACCACACTGGGGCTCTGCTCATTCCTCTTTCTCAGTTTCTTGTAAGATAAAATGTGTTGCAGACCAAAGCCCCTGGGAACTCCCTTACAGTGGATCAGGCGGTGATGACATTAAGGGCATTGTGTTGTTGTTGTTGTTAAGTGCTGTTGAGTCAGTTTTGACTCATACCGACTCTGTATAGGGTTTGCGAGGAGCTACTCGTGGGTTTGAATGGCTGACCTTGTGGTTAGCAGCCCAGTGCTTGTCCTACAGTAACCACACTAGGACTCCAAGGGAGGTGGTGGTGTTAAATGCCGACTGGTCGTTTCTCACTGATGTTGTTGTTGTTAAGTGCCGTCGAGTCAATTCCGACTCATAGCGACCCTATGTAGGGGTTTCCAAGGAGTAGTTGGTGAGCTTGAACCACCAACCTTACAGCTCAAACAACTTTGCAGCCTGACGCGTTTGTCCACAGCACCACACCAGGACTGATAGTGACCCTGTAATCTTTGAGACAGCAGAAAGCCTCATCTTTTCTCGAGGAACAGCTGGTGGATTTGATGGAAGATCTTATGGTTTACAGTCCAATGCTTATCATACTGAGCCACTGCGCTCCCCAAGGGGATAGTTTTGTTGCTATTGTTAAGTGCTATTGAGTCAGCTCTGACTCATGTTGTTGTTGTTATGTGCTGTGTAGTCGGTTCCAACTCATAGCGACCCTGTACAGGGTTTCCAAGGCTGTAAATCTTTACGGGAGCAGAAAGCCCCATCTTTCTCCCACGGAACAGCTGGTAGTTTTGAACTGCTGACCCTGAGGTTCACAGCCCAATTCGTAACCACTACGCTACCAGAGCTCCATAGTAACCCCTTAATCCTCTCATTGGTTTATTCCATCGGGTCACATGGGGAATCATTTCGTAACTGATAAACCATTGAGAATAATGACCCCGCCGAGTGACACATACACCATGCAATCTATAGCAGACCCTATAGGGCAAGATATTGGCTGAAGGCAGAGAATACCAGAAAGATATTTACCTGTGCTTTATTAACTACGCTAACACTTTTGACTGTGGACAACATTGTGGAGAATGAGTATTCTGGAACATTTGATTGTGCTCATGAGGAATGTGTACACAGCCTAAGAGGCAGTTGTTCACACACACATACAATAGAACAAGAGGACACTGAATAGTTTAAAATCAAGAAAGGTATGTGTCAGGATTGCATTGTTTCACTATATTTATGCAATCTGTAGGCTGAACAAAAAATCCAAGAAGGTGTATTGTATGAAGAAGAACATGGCATCAGGATTGGAGGAAAACTCATCAACAATCTGCGATATACAGATGATACAACCTTGCTTGCTGAAGCGAAGAGGACTTAAAATACTTACTGGTGAAGATCGAAGACTACAGCCTTCAGTATGGGTTTCACCTCAATGGAAAGAAAACAAAATTCCTCATCACTGGACCAAACATAAAATTAAGATCATGGAGTAAAGATTGAAGCTGCTAAAGACTTCATTTTGCTTGCATCAATCATCAACATTCATGGAAACAGCAGTCAAGAACTAAAAGGACATATTGCATCAGGTAAATCAGCAGCAGAAGACCTCTTTAAAGTGTTCACGAGCAGAGATGTCAGTTTGAGGACAAAGTCCACCTGACCCTGACCCAAACCATGGCATTTTCAAGGAAGACTATAGAATTGATGCATTTGAGTTACTGTGTTGGAGAAGAATGTTGCAAGTACCATGGACTGCCACAAGAACAAACAAATCTGTGTTGGAAGAAGTATAGCCAAAATGCTCCTTAGCAGCCAGAATGGCCAGACTTTGTCTCTCATACTTCTGGACATATTATTTGGAGGGACCAGTCCCTGGAGAAGGACATCATGCTTGGTAAAGTGGAGGGTCAGTGAGAAAGAGGAAGACCCTCAACAACATGGATTTGTACACAGGCAGCCGCAATGGGCTCAAGCATAGCAACAGTTGTGAGTTCAGTACACAACTGGGCCGTGTTTCGTTCTGTTGTGCATAAGGTCACTATGAGTCGGCACCAACTCGATAGCACCTAACAACACCGATGACTCAACTAT